CTGCTTAGCCACATAATGCGGCTGGGACTGCCGTTCGTTTGCGGCCTTGTCATCCGTTTGGATGACTAAGTTCGCACGATCCAGAATGGCCTGGAACGTGTCATAGTTGTACTCGTTGCTGAGTGCCGACCGCAGTCCCGCGCACGATCGCGAGAAGAACTCGGATCGTTGATTTGAAAAACTCAAATCGAATCCTGGCGTGGTCACTATCTTCTGCCACTTGGTTGTCCAGTCTCGAATTGGCATATTTCCTTGAGAACAGGTGTACACCTCGTTCATGGCCGCCTTCACGACGTTGCGGACCATAAACCGGGTGAACCATAGCTTCTCGAACTCATTCCACGTGATGTGCGTGTGGAGGTCAGCGGTGGTGCATTTGTTGGTAGCCGCCAGATGGTTCATCCAAGCCTGCGCTCCTCCAATTAGTTGCAAGTAGAGTGCCTTCATCATGTTGTCTGCCGGGACAGTGCGGCATGATGCTTCCGTGAGGAAACGTCTCCACCATGTCAAGGCGTCCGACTTGTTGTAGTCGTCGAACTTGCTGATGTCGAAGTGCGGCATCTTGTAGGTCTTTGTAGCGACGTCCGGTCTCGTCTGCAGCTTGGTGATGTCCGTCTTGATGGGGGCCACCGTGCTACTGATCGTGTCCGGCCCATTGAAAACACTTATGTCGCCAATGATGGCGACAACGTGATCGATGCGCTCATTGAGTTGCTTCGTCGCGTCTGTCGTGCAGCCTGGCGCTGCTGAGGCGTCAGCCTCAATGTTGTTGATGCGTGCGAGAGCGGAGTTCAACAGCTGGTGCTGTTCCTGCTGCTGCGTTGCTTCGGCGCGGATGGCAGTTGTTAAAACAACAATGTCTTGCTGGTACTTTTGTTGCTGTTGTCGTTCCGTGCGCAGATGTGCCTGCAGCAGTGTGTTATTCCACATGATGCCTCTCATCATGCCCAGCATCAAGTTAGCCAGGTGAGTCCTCTCTGCCTCCGCCGGTATCGGATCTGCCTGCGCGTCCGAAGGCACAAAGATCATGCCTTGGAGGAACGTTGTCCACTGACTTTCACTATGAATCAGGGACTCCGTACTGGCGGCATTCCGTTGGTCTCGTGCCGCTGCGTCAGCCTCGGCAGTCTGCTGAGCTTGGGCTGCCGCCTCATTCGCCAGCCGCTGACGTTCTGCCTCTGCTGCCTYCTGCTGAGCCTTGGCGGCAGCTACAGTATCTGTAAATACCTGTAGCCGCCCAAAATAGTCAGCCAATGGCTCACTGGCCCTTCGGACCGGGCATGCGGGAAGAACTCCGGTGGTGTCCGGTACCGTCAATGTTGTACTCGATGCCGCTGGAGTCGTCCGCCTGCTGAGTCTCTGTTGCTGAGCCTTGGTTCGTGGAGGTACCGTAGGTCGAGCACGAACTGCGAGCCTGGCACTGCGCCGTGGCAGTGCCCCGGTATCCTGTTCCATCGACATCAGTGTGTACTGATGCGGTACTTGAGAGGTCCCCGTGGTCACAGAATACGGGGAGGGGAGGGAGAGTGGGCACAGGGGTAGAACAATCAAACAATATGTATACAGTCCCCTGTCCCACTGATGGACTGTAGACACCTAATCAAACAGATAATTTTCCCGTAAACCATTCAAAAATTCGTAATAAGGAATTAATAACGATTTAATTAATAAAGATAACCAATAATCCTTATTTGTAATAAAGATAACCAATAATTGCAATCATAAACGAATTTGAAAGGTATTATGATTAGGTCTCTTTGAGATCACTTTGAGTCCGAGAGTTCACCGTTAATGAGTGAACTACCCGGAAGTTGCAGTTTGAGGGTCAGATACGGCTTAGTGTGCTAAAAAAAAATTCGGAAAATTTCAGAAGAAAAAACGCTCGAATTTTGAATTTTTGGGAATTTCCACCGTCAAAATCCGATTTTTAAAAGCCTAAACCTGTTTTCGGAATTTCTCAAACAAGGGGAATGAAAAAAAAATTGCGAAAATTTTGGTCCCAACCCTAATTTTCCGCGTTTCCGCGAAATTTTCGGATTTACGGTCCGAAAACGTTCGAATTTCCCCAAGTTGATCTAAAAACCAAGATTTTCGTAACCCTAATTTCCAATACTGAAAGACAACGGAAAACCAAAAGAAAACGAAATATAGGATTTACAACAAAAATGCCGAAAAACGGAATGCTGAATGGAAATCAGAAACGCCGAATTTCAACATGATACTGATTCAACCCTAATTCGTGTAACATCAGAAATCCGAAACTTAATCAATTATCGGATTAGTATTACTCAATCGGAACTTAAATAGCAGCATACCGGAAGAAAACAGAAATCCGARTTATAAGTCCGAATACCGAATTGAACGGAAATGCCGAACTAAATAGA